TTTATTTTGCATCTATTATATGCTATGAGCTATTCTGGGCCCTGCACATATAGCAGTGGACAGAACAAAGTTCCTGTCTTTGTGGTGCTTACTTTCTGCATATATGCCCACTTGATGAGGAGATAGTTTTATTCTTTTATCTAAATACTATTGTTTTATGTCAATGGATTTGGTATTTGAATAGGAACAAGAGTCATTTTTGAGGGTACATGTCAGTGTTGGTGGTCTCCATGCTCCTGTCAGATGGAGACTGTGTTCACTGTTACTCTGTTTCATTAACCATCCAGACATATGAGGGGAAAAATTAAGTAAGATCAGGAAAGATAGGTCAGGAACATCAGAACAACTTTTTTGATAAGCTACATATTTTTCTTATAATTAAAGCCAATTTAACATGATTGAGTGCTGATTTTTCAAAACCACTATCAATTCTTTGGCCTTTCCATATCACTATTAACTTAGGGAGAAGGATATAACTTCTAAGACAGGCTGAACACAGCACACATGATAAGATGTTTTAAAAAGCAAAACCTTACAAGATCAAATCTACTAGTGTTCTAAGAAAGAAAATAGAATATATTTAATATTTGTGTTTTTCTTGATAAAGAAAGAATATATGTTCACTATATGTAAGATGCAAATAATAGGGAAATACATAAATTAAAAATGCTGTTTATACAGAATTATAATATTCATAGTTCCAAATAACTGATTTTTTCATGGTCTATACAGTTGCCCCTTGATGTGGATGAGGGATGAGTTCCAGGATTCCTACAGATACCCAAATCCATGGATCAGTATTTGCATATAACCTACACACACACACACTCCCAGATACTTAAAGTCACCTATAGATAATTTGTGATACCTAATACAATGTAACTGTTTTGTAAATAGTTGTTAAACTATATTGTTTAGGGAATAATGGCAATGAAAAAAAAAAAAGCCTGTATGTCAGTAGAAAGGCATTTTTTCCCCAGTCTGTGGTTGATTAAATCCCTGGGGCCAAGGATATAGAGAAATAGAGAACTGATTATACACACTTATTGTACATTGATCAGTATCATCAGATTGCTTAACTGGCTGGGACATTTCTGATTCCATAATACTAAAAGCTTCTAGAATAACAATACCTTCAAATAATGCTACCTTCAAAACTAACTTCTAAAGAGAACATCTAGTGCGTAATATACGTTTCATTTAAAAGCACGGCTCTCAAAACATCAATGTAGAGTTAGCATGGGTGCCATCCTGAAGAAGACAGAGCCAGAGAGCACCCTCAGGATATCAGCAGCAGAATCTGGTAGGTCTTGCAGGAGGAGTGAATTCTGCTACACACTCACACACAGGTCACTGATTGAGTCCCTCTCCAACATTGCACAGAGAAGAAAATGAAAGTCCAAGGAAATGAAGAAACCTGGCAAGTCACCCTACAGTGAGAGGCAGAGGTGGGCTGAGAACAAGAGTGATAATCTGCTCTTTGATCTACTGCATCCAGCCGCATTAGAAGGTACCTTTTGTACAGTAGTGCAGAAGAAATCAGCTTCAATTTGTTCCCCTAAGGTGAGTGTTCAGACAAGTCCCTCTTGTATCTGAGCCTTTTATTCTAACACAAGAAACTCAAAGTTCTGGGCTGATGGTGGTAGATGTTCAATCATTTTTGCTGTTGTGTGTTTTGCTTTTGAAAAGGGAAAGGAAATTTAAGACCTAAAAAGAGTATCATTATTATTTGATGAACTAACATGCATGTAGGTTTTGAAGTTCAGAGTGAGAAAAAAAACTGCTGTTGGATCCAACACGCCCCCCTACACACACACACACACACACACACACACACACACACGTGACAGGGTGTCCTCTTGACTGGTGTGAAGGTGAGTAGGTTGCTGCTGGAATGTTTGAGGACAGGGAACTCCGAGAGTACTCAGCCCTGGGTTGGGGGAGAATGTGTCACTTCCAGGGCTTTTCTCTCTAGCTGAGTCATGGCACAGCCACCATGAAGTCCAAAATAAGTGTCTGTAGCCCTCTGCAGCCAGGGAAAAGGTCACCAACAACACAGAGCTTGGGAGCTTGGGGAAGTGGGTAAGAGGAGACTGCCGTGTCATGTCTACTACACATTCCTCTAAGTTGAAAACTTGGGTCCCAGAGCAAACGTTCCCTGCTCTGAGCTCCATCGGCTACAGCTGACCTACAGTGAGGCCACAGCGGGTGCTTCTGCCAGAATCAGAGATGAATATCAGCACATTAAACCCCACCTTCTTTTATAAGAMTTTGGAATCCAGAATGTGTCAATGTGTGCCCAACTGAATAGCTAGAGGGAATTAGCTTTGTTCTGAAAGAYGCTTGGCACAACATTGAACAAGAATAGTAATCCAGATTACAGAAGATTGAATTCTATTCCTTCTATTTGTAAAAAATACAGGACTCTTCAATGTTAACAAATGGCTCTTGAAAAATCACAGCTAATATTGGCTGACTCTTAGTACTTCCCAAGCATTGTGTTAACTGCTTTATATTAATAATCATATTTAATCATCAGAACAACTCAGTTATGTTGATGCAGTTTTATGTTTGGGGATACTGAGACTTAGGGTAAGGACCCCACCTAAGGCTCATGATCAGTAAGTCACCAAGCTGGAATTCAACCCCAAATTTGCATACAACAGAAACCAAAGTGCTTTTGATGTTCTGTTGGCTCAGATTTAAGTACCAGCACCCAGAGCTGCAGGACATATATGCTCACATGATTTAAACTATATATTGGGGCTGGGGGTATAGATAAGTGGTAGAGTGTGTGCTGAGCATGCACTAGGCCCTGGGTTCAGTACCTTGAGAAAAAAAAAGTATGACAAATGATAACTAGCTATGTGGACACTTTTGGCAAAAATTAATTAACAAAATCTTGTGTGAGTCAAATTCTGCATCATTCCAAACTGGAATTCCCCTAATGATGCCACAAGAGAGCTTCTGATGACCCCAGAGAACAGTCATTCTGGAAGTTTCCATAAATGCCAATTCACTCCTTGGAGTTGAATAAGGTAGTTTGAGAGGTAGCGGCAGAGCCTAAACTAGTCAGTGGCTACTACCTTCAGGTAGCCAAACTTTCCATCATCACCCCCTCCACACCCCGTATCTAATAAACATTCTCATGGCAATGACATTACGATGTTCACTGAAATATTGAATATGTATTTTTTCTCTTAAAGAAAATTGCATGTTCCCTGCTTGTTAGGCTCGAGTCACGGGCCAAGATGGAGCTTGCCATAATGAGTTCTTGGTAACATTATCCTTTCCCACCTTTGCCTTCCTTGTCTTTGGTCAGAGTGACTCTCCTTTTATTTATGTTGCATCCAACCCTTTTACTCCATAAGTAAAACCAGAGAGTGTCCTGTGCAGTTGTTTTAATTGGGTCCAACATTAAACATTATCAAGGAGAAATGAAACCGAAAGAAGCAAGTCAAGATCGCAGCCCTGAGTTTTCTTCTGGGATCACAGTGGCTGATAAATGATGCAAAATGCCCAAGATGACCAGCCCCGGCTACTTTTTGACCTGAAGACCTATGAGACAGGGGGTTGGGGTAGATGGCAAAGAGCTGGAAACCACCAGCGACTGCCATTAGGATCGCTTTGCATCCTCAAGCAGGCAAACACKAATCACACCTCTTTTATTAATGGTGATTCTAAGGAAAGTTCTTTGAAAATAGAAGAAAAAGGAGGTCTGACTAATGGAACCAAACCTACATAACAGACCAAGTCCATCATATTTTCTCATTAAGATGATGGCTCAGTTTCACATAAAGATTAATTACTCAATTGTGGGGAAAGTATAATCTGGCCAAATTAATTTTAAAATGAGAGTCCAGCTATTTTTATTATACTCTTCAGATCCCAGGAAATTTCTGCCAGTACATTTCATAGAAATTAATATTGTAAAATTTATGTATGGCTGTTGCCCCTCGCCCATTTAGCGCCTCTCTGAATTAAATTATTGATATCAGTAAACACACAGAGTCTTTTGGAATGACCTTGCTGACCTATTTTTGACAGCATGATCTCGGCTCCCTCATGGCTTGCCATAATGAGTTCTTGGTAACATTATCCTTTCTGACGAATTTAATGGAAGCAAGTGAGTCTTTAGAAACTGGTCCTGTGCATAAGCTCCATTAGCTTTCTGTGTTCTATCTGGTGCTTGGAAAACCAGGCACCAAGGAACGTTTTTCAATCGCATCTATGGCTTAGCTTTTCACTCCTACTGACACAGCGATTAATCTTCATCATCCCATTCTAGACGCACGCTGTTTTCCAAAACTAAAGCTACATGCCCCAAAATCTTTGCCTCCTTTTGTGTGGCAGATGACATCTTCCATCAACAGTGAATAATAATAAATTTACATTCAACCCACATGTGGCAATTGAACACCTAAGCCTCCCTCCAACTGCTGTTCCAAAGTGACATTCCCTTCTTATATTTCCCTTCTACTTCAGTGATGCAGAATAACAGTCACAAATTAACAGTCCCCCCCCTTTTTTGGGGGGGGTGTCGGGTGCTGAATGGAAAGAAAAGAACAAGAGGAGGGCAACTCAATCCAGACAATATGTAATAAAAACCCAGAGCGAACCACAGTTCTTAACAGACTCCCTGAGAAGGTTCCCAGGGCACAGCACTGAGGAGGAGTGAATTCTCCAGTAGGACACATCACACACTCCAGTGGCTCCTGGTTAACCTTGCCACATTGTCTGTGCCAAAATTCAGATTTCACACACTGTCCTCCTTAACCCCAATGCAATTCTATTTCCAGTTCTGCCAGCCTCAGATCCGCAAAGCATYAGTATTCTATTAAAAAAAAAAAAGTATAAGCTCAAATTCTGGGTCATCTAGCAGTCGCACCCTGTGATTAAGGACTACACCCAGGAAGGTATTTTCTGTGGAAGATGCCCAGGCCAGTCTCCATCCCAGGGACTTTGAAATGGAAGCAGAAAGGATTGTGTGGGTAACTTACCAGCTCCTGAGGTCAGAATGGCTGCAGCAGCCCCACCGCTTTACCTGGTCCCTGGCTCTCTCTGTCTCTCTCCCTCTCTCTCTCCCTCTTTCTCTTGTGTACAGATTGCAGGGAACTTAAAGAACTCGCAGGGACAGTGTTTCAAATGACTTAAGAAGAACAGGAACAATACTTCGTTCTCTTTTTCTCAGATGAGTACCTTCGGGAAGAAGGAAGGAAGGGAGGGGAGAGGGAGGAAGTCAACAACCCTTTGCTTTCCTGAAAAAAAATAAGGAAACAGAAGATAGACATCTCATTTTCTCTTAAACAAAATGTTGGAAGGGGCAAAAAAAAAAAAAAATCTTTGAAAGAAGGAATTCCTCAAATATGCTTTCTGCCCTGGGAGCTTTAAAGAGACGAAAACGCCTTAGTGGCCTGTCCTGTCCAAATAAATGGTGTTCCAGAAAGGCAGGCTCTCCTGAGCTTGCAGCCTCTCATATCTGGTTTGCAGAACTGACACAGCCAAAAGGGAACAAATCCTGTCATGTCGACTCTGAGCAGGGGGGATGCCTGGTCCATTGTGCTAACGGAGACAAACCTGCAGCCTGGGAGACAGGACCTCGTGGCCAGTCGGCCAGGACTTTTCGCTTTTCCTAGGCCCTTGGAAACAACAGCATTGCTGCAATTCCTCGGCTAACTCTAGATCCTTAGAGTTCTTCCAGGATCGAATAGCAGATTTATGCACTGGTCAAAAACTGAGCTTTATGCAATGGACCAAATCCAGCTTCCATCTTGCTGATGGACGAAAAAGGAAAAGAAGTCACTTACCACAGTGCTGCGGACATAGTTATCTCAGAGCTGCTGTTTATATTGTCCTCTCCTTTACATTCCTAAGGCTTCTTGGATGTAATCACCTCTGGAAAACTGGAGGGCTATTTCTAATTTGTTTTCAAAACACGGCAAAGCAGTGTAGACCTTATATAAATTAGCCACCGTTTTTGAAAAAGGATGGAGAAGCTGATTAGAAGGAGTAGAGGAAATGGAGGGAACATCCTTTAGCATGGAAGGGACCTGTGAGTTCAGGGGACAGGCATCCTGTGCAGGGAGCACTTAGGATTAAGCTTGGTTTAAATTGCTCCAATTTGTATAGTGTGGACTTCATTCATCTGGTTATGACCATTGTCACCACAAACAGGAACCAGCATGGACCTTTGTGGTAGCACAAGAAAAACCAGCCTTGAGCTGCTTCCTCATTTACTCAATTGTGAAAAAATTGGGTGGAGAGTTACACCTGATGGCAGAGGACACTTACATGAGTTGGGGGAGAGGACGATTCTGATTCAGTGTCCATGTGAGGCTCTTATTGGGCACGAGGGTCTGTAAGATTACATATTCCAAGTTCTCTCTCTCTCTCTCTCTCTCTCTCTCTCTCTCTCTCTCTCTCTCTCTGTCATCTACATGGATCTATTAATCAGTCTATCTGAAGATGTGTGCACATTTCAAAGAGAACATGATATTGTTACTTGGCAACCTGTCAGCTCCAGAGCAGAGTGTGATTCTTTGCATTCGCCATGCACTGACACCGACTAGACGCATAGATTCCTGGCATGGGTGACCCCTGCCCCACATACCATGGACAGATGAGAAGAAGAGCCAACAGCACAAGGGCCTCAGCCTCTGCACTTTTCCCAGAGTCACACACAGCAGTAGCAAAACCCCAAATGGTCAGTTCATTGGCCTCCTGGGTCCAGCTCTAGGGCTCTTGCCCTCTGCTGGCCTTCCTCTGCATCCTGCCTTTGTAAGGATGGGAAGGAAAATGAAAATGAAAATCTAAGAAAGCAAGGGAAGAGCCTGAGAGAAGAGAGCAGGGCAGGAGTCGGAGCTGGGGCTTTCAGTGGTGGGGCAAACCTCTGAGTGTCTTGAGGCTAAAGAGTCCAACTCACCCTAGGAAGTGGGTCCATGGGAGTGTGGTGAGTGAGGAGCAATAGGGAGGGGGTGGGCATCAGCCAGCAGAGGAAGGAGGGGACCAGAGGGTCAAAGAAGCTCAGGCTACGGAGTCCTTGCAGAAATGAAGCTACCTCTAATCACCTGAAGAGCCAATCACCATATACAGCCTTTTCCATGTTATTCCTCTTTGTAGCCTCAGGGCCAGGCCAGGGCTGAGCCCCAGGAGTCCAGTCAGAATCCAAAGGATTTCCCTTTTAAGTCTGCAGAATGTGGGGACGGTCACGTTGAGGCCCTGTTGTTGTCTCCAAGCCAGCTGACCCGCCCAGAGTCCCCTGGACGGGGCGTGTCCATTTAGTCTGTGTGGCTTTGATTTCCCTCAGCAGCACCCAGCGGAGATCTGGCGACACCCATGGGGCTGGCCAGGGGATCCTCAGCCCTGCCTGGTGCCAGGCTGTTCCAAACAGGCACCTTCTTGTAGCTTTGCCCTTGAGAATCACAGAATAGGCTTCTCCTTCCTTCCCTAAGCAGCCAGGCATATGAAAAGTTGCCCCCTGAGGCTTGTCACACCGTCCACTGGTCCTCAGACCTTCCCATTCGGTTTGGAGGGAGAGATTTTGAATCAGGCTGCCCAAGCTCCAGCCATCTCCTGGCTGCTCTGGATCTCTGGATCCCACTGAGAATGAGGGGCATGGATGTCTGTCCTGCAGCCGACAGAGGCTACAATGTGCAGGGTGGATGTGGCCTTGCCTAGGACCCATCTGTAAGCCCCAATTGCATGACATACTACAGAGATCATTCGAGTGGAGAGAGAGGGCTTCATGCCCATGGGACTGGATCAGGGCACCATGAGAAAAACCAAATTGAGGCCAAGCAGTGACCCTAACACTGAGAACCAGCACCACAGAAATACGAGCTCTGCTCAAATTGGCTTCCCACCTCTAAAGCGCCCAAATTTGTACATCTCCAGCTGTGATGATCCAGAACTCTAGGGCCATCTGTTCAACCCAGGACAAACTGGATCCAGATTGTAGAGGTGGGGGAGAAATGAAGGGAATGTTGAAATGTAACGTATTTTCAGAAAAGTGTCAAAAAAATAAATACTCACATGAGTCAGTTAGAGATGTGAGTGGTCAGGATTCCATAAAGTATCAGGACCAAAGACCCTGGTGCCCCTCGTGCCACTTCGTCTCCTCAGGGGACACTTCCTGACTTCTAACACTTGATGCAGATGATGCATTACCTGAAGTTGCATGAGAAATGGAATGGGTTTGTGGTTTTCAGTTTTGGGTTTCTTTGCCTCGATGTAACATGGGCAGGATTCATCCCTGTTCTTGAGGATGGTCATGCTGCCTTCACTCCTGTGCTGGATAGGCTTTCATTCTGTGAATGTGCCACAAGTTTTACATCTGCTCGACTGAAAAGAGACCTCTGGGTTGTTTTTAGCATGGGGTATCAAACCAGTGCCAGGAATATTCCTGTCCCTGACCTATGTCTTCCTCAAAGTCTACTATGGGACTCTTCTTTTAACAGGAAGAAGGTCCCCTCTAGTGACTCACAACCTTTTTATTTGATTTTCTTTGGTATCCACTTCCTCTCACATGGGATACATGGCATCCATTTTTTAATGCAAATGAATTTGGTTTGAGAACATGGAGATACCTTGGAGACACTGGAAGTGTTCCTGGGGAGCTTTGAACCATCAGGAGCCACTGTTCTTGCTTCTTGCTGCAACCTGGAGATGCTAGTTCCTGCTGCTCCAAGTCACACTGCAGGGCTCCATCTCCCCTCGAGATTCTGTGGAGAGCGTCTCCTCCCCACCCTGGGCTTCCCACGGACGTGCAAAGTTCCATTATATTCACGTTCAGGAGGGATGGCCAAGGCCCCAGCCTGAAACTGCTTTGAATCTTCCTTTGTTTCTTTGATTTATTGTCTTCATCTTGCCAAGCCCCAATGTCTTCCAAGTCTCAAAAATGTGAGAACATTCATTCTGTCTTCCTTTTTAGTTTTTTTTTTTTAGTCTAAAAAACCAATCTAAAGGATTCATTTAAACACATTATTGAAAAAAAAAATCTAGTTTGTGTAGCCAGTTTTCTCATTTGACAAGTGGGGATAATAAAATACCTATTTTGTATATTATTAGTAGTAAATAAGAATAGTGAACATCGTTCACAGCCCACGTGTCAGGCATGTTCTAAATACTTCTCATGACATGATCTACCCAAGATTTTCACAACCCTGTGAAGTAGCTGCGGTTATCATCTGCCGTCCCATCTACCCTTTTATAGGTGAGGAAACCGAGTCATGAAGGTGTTATGCTGCTTCTCCAACACAGAATAATAAGTAAGATTTCAAACCCAGGGAATTCTGGCTCACAGTCCTAATTTTTAACCGTGGAGCAAACTTGCCTTGCCTTCTGGCCAAAAAATGCCGATCACAGAGTAAAAACCCAATGTGTGGAAATCCCAAAGCAGAAGTCCTATTACATGTCCTGGAAAGAAAATGAAGTGCACATACACATAAAATAATTGGTTTTAAACATTACAAAATTAAAATGTTTTCCCCAGGATGYGGTGGCACGTGCCTGTAATCTCAGCAGCTTGGGAGGATAAGGCAAGAGGGTTGAAAGTTCAAAGCCAGTCTCAGTAACTTAGTGAGGCCCTAAGCCACTTAGTGAGTTGTCTCAAAATAAATAAACAAATAAATAAGTACTAGGGATATGACTCAATGGTTAAGTGGCCTGGGTTCAATCCCCCCATACAAAAAATATTAAGTAATATGTGTATATTACTTAATATTTGTATATAATATTATGTCTATATGTATGTTGGTTTTTATCATCCAAGGTGTTAATGTTTTATTTAATAGATTATTGAAATAYTTCATAAAATTATTTCCCTCATTTTGTTCTTTTTCATGTCCTAATCAAATTGTATGCATATTCTATAAAGTAATAGCAAACATCCCCCCCACAAAAAATAAAACCAACCCAATTCATGCTCCCTAAAATTGAAGAACATTTTGTTCTATGATGAAAAAGGCAAAAATATATGGCACCGAGTTTCCTTAGGCAATCATTTGGTGAGCACATCATAAGGACCAGGAGACCCCAGGCTATGGGTGGCTAATGTGCTTCTGAAGTTTTGCCTGGAAGAAGAGAAGTACAGTGAACAAGTCAAGAGGAAGGGGAGTCTGGGAGTTAGAACAGCATTTGGCAGGGTTCAGACTCTGGACAAGAAGGTCAGAG